AAAACTTATGGAAAACTTAGTGTTGTATTTTCAATCCTTAGTTATAAACGCAAAAAATTTTATGATTTTTCAACTTCATAATTACTTGCAAATTTTCGCGTTTTCAACAGATTTCGTAAAATTTTGAACTATAAACGCTTATTGAAAAAAATTTTTTTTAGTTACAATAATAACAACTCATAAGGAACCTTGTATTAAATTTTCAAGTTTTTTTGGTCGTCCAACATTTTTTTACCGACACTTCAAAAAAAAAATTCTCAAAAAAATTGAATATTTCAGTGGTCTATAAACAACTCAAAAAAGTCAAACATTTTGTCACCAAGTATCTTCACTTTTACATCGGAAACCACCCTCAAAGTTTGAAATCGAAGCATTATTTCGACTAGTTATGCTGTACGCAGACACAAAAACAAAAAAAAAAAACAAAAAAACAAAAAACACACATCATTGTAAAATCAATACATTCAGCACTTCGTTCAGAATCTAAAAGTAACTTATTTTTAACTAAATTAAGTTACTTTTATTTTCTCATTAACTTGTAACTTTTGCAAGTTAAAAAAAATAGAGGTAATTTTTAACTTTAAACTTAACTTACTTTTTTCTATATTAACTTGAATTAACGAGTTAAAAAAAATAGTTAACTTGCCCAGCCTTGCTATTTTATGATTTCAAGTGTATATTAATCTGAGAGTTTACAATGAGGTAACAATATATTAGTTCTAAATATATCATTTTGGTAAATTTAATTTAATAATTATATTTTAATTAATAAATAACTCGTAAAAAACCGAGATACACAGATAGATAGATAAATAGTAATTAGTGTTATAGTAAGGAAATAAGAAATTTAGAATTAAAATTTGTAAGTAAGCCATCAGTCAATCATATTTTATTGGGATAGCTAGAATACTATCTATAGTCCGGCCGCCGGCCGGCGTTATTGCCCAAACGTGACGTCACACGTTACATGATGTTGGCGTCAAGATATTTACCGTATGCCGCGTCTATTAGCTTATAATATGGTCGAAGACCTGAACGTATCCAAACGGAATGTTTGGATACAATTATTAATAACATA